GGCCTGGGACACAACCAGAAGGAAACACCAGCGAGAAAACACCAGCGGGTTGAACCATCGCCTCGGTTACCCCTTCCCTCTTTATGCCCTTAAACCCCATCCCAAGGTTTTCCCACAAATCCACCCCTTACTTTTCCCCATCACCTCGGTTACCCCTTCCCTCTTTATATCTTTAAACCCCATACCAAGCTTTTCCTGCAAAAGCACCCCTTACTTTTCCCCATCCCCTCGGTTATCCCTTCCTTCTTTATGTCCTTAAACCCCATCCCAAGGTTTTCCCGCAAAACCACCCCTTGCTTTTCCCCATCCCCTCGGTTACCCCTTCCCTCTTTATGTCCTTAAACCCCATCCCAAGGTTTCACCACAAAACCACCCCTTACTTTTCCCCATCACCTCAGTTATCCCTTCCCTCTTTATGTCCTTAAACCCCATCCCAAAGTTTTCCCGCCAGACCGCCCCTTACTTGTCCCCATCGCTACGGGAGCGGCGTCCAACCCTCGCAACATGTCGCGGAGCACTTGGGTTTTGACGGCGTGGTCGGCCCAGAGCCGCTGCAGGTGGGTGACGTTGAAGTCCTGCACCTCCCGGTCGTAGAGCCACCGGAGGTTTGCGAACTCGCAGTCGTAGAGGACGAGGGGGAACTCGACTGCCATGCTAGGGGAAAGGAGAGAAGGCGTTAGCCATCGCTGTCCAAGGAGGATGCAGTGAGAAAATACGCTCGCGCGGCGGCGTGTCAGCCCGTCCTTTCTGCCCAAACCAGCCTCGTCTTCTGCCGAACCCCTCTTGCCGATACAAAACTGAATCGGTCTTAACCAAACGCCGAGGGCTACAGCCACCAAAGGTCTGTCCGAGAGCAAGAAAAACGGGATGCTGACGGATACCTCCCCGAAAGGCTGCTTCCATGTCATAGAATCGTAGGTTGGAAAAGACCTCGAAGATCATCGAGTCCAACCATCCATGAGAGACCTTCTCCGCGAAGCAGCCCGGGAGGTTTTTCCCCGAGCCCTCCATACCTGTACTGTGGTTTTTGGGGGTTCTTCTCCACGTCCAGCAGCTCGTCGATGATCTCAGGGCTCTCCATCCCCTGGCCGATGAGGAAGAGGATGGCCATCATGCAGCGGACTTGGTGATAGAGGAACGCCTGTCCTGTCACTTCGAACTGGCACAGGCGGAAGGGATCCTCCGGCCCCGTTTCTTCTCCCCTCTCCACCCATGTCACTCCGGCGCTGAGGATCGTCCTCTGGAAGTTGACCACCCCGTTGGCGACGTCCATCTTGCACAGGTTACGGAAATCGTGGGTCCCCACGTACCTCTGGGCCGCGGCGTGCATGAGGGCCACATCCAGGTCGGCGCAGGGGAAGAAGTAGCGGTAGGTCCTCTTGAGACAGCTGAAGCGGGCGCTGAAATCGGGCTCCACGGGGGCCCAGGCCAGCGCCCGGATGTCGGGCGGGAGCACCCTGTTCAGAATATGGGTGTAGCGGAGCTCCTCCTCCTCGCTTTTGCCTTCCAAGTCCGCCTCGTGCCCGTTGAGCTTCTTCCCCGCGGACAGGTTGGAGCGGAGATCTAGGGAAATCACCTGCGAAAGGAGCGGGAGCCGGGATTAGATCGCAGATGGGCGCGTTCGCCGCCTCGAGCCAAGTCTTCCTACACCGCTGTGGAATCAA